GCTAGACCACTTCCCGGCTCGGTTAACTTGCAGACTTTTACTTCTATTGCCACATTAATTTGGCTCGATCCCAAAATGACAGTTCATCCTTGGATATAACAACTAAAATTACAAATATAACAGTGCAAGTATTCAATGACCTGGCTGGGTTAGCTCGCAGACTTTAACTTCTGTTGCCACGCTAATGTAACCGATCCCAAAATGACACTTCATTCTTGGCAACTACAGCTTAACTAACCAAAACTGAACTTACAAATATAACAATGCAATGCAACCACAATGAATCAAATCCAGAATTTCAAGAAACAAATTTCAATCATTATACATGTTAAAATCCAAATATTCACACATTCATACATTATTCCAAAAATGAAACCAGAAGGGAAAAACACGAAAACTTACCCATGGCCATCAAGAACATTTCTTGATATCTTCATCTTCCTCGTAGCACCCTTGTACAGCTCCTCCAAGCTACACATCAACCCATTCTCCACCGGTGGTGCCTTTCTCATTCCCCCAGCACCACCACCAGAATTTTCTCCACCTCCATACCTCGTCCCACCATTCATATTTGTACTCCTAAAATACCCATCTCTCTTCACCCCACTGACACCACCACCATTATTCCCATTCCCACTATAACCCCCATTACTACTTTCCCCAAAAATTTCCTCAAAAATATCAGCAGGGGTCCGAGGATTAAACCGGAAATTCGGGACAGGACGTTGCTGATTAGTTCCATAACCTTGGGCACTTCGTTTGGGCGGTGGAGCTTGGCCGGACTTGAGACCCTCCTCGCCATATAGATCGTAGATCTGGCGTTTTTCTGGGTCGCTCAAAACGTCGTAGGCTTCGGAAATTTGCTTGAACTTGGCCTCGGCTTCTAACGTGTTGGCATTTTTGTCTGGGTGCCAAATCATGGCCAGGCGCCGATAAGCCTTCTTCAAGTCCTCGTCGCTCGCATTACGATTAACTTTGAGAATATTGTAATAGTCTACACCCATTTTTCTCTGTTTGTTTGGTTTTATTTATTATTATTATTTTTTTTTT